ACTCTAGTAGTATTGTACTAAAATCATCTTGGTTACTCACGGGAGTTCCCTGAGCATTGTAAATCAAACGCCTAATATATTGGAACAAATAATCGAGTTCACATTAATTTGCTTGGAAAAAGTCATTTTAAAATTGATGTTGTTAGCGCAAAAGAAGATAATTAAGATTAGTTTTACAATCTTATTCCTAGATTAACAAGATTATATTTTTTTATGGAAAACAATATATATTGAATACAATTATGGACAACTATTAGCCTTATCCTTGCTTTCCTTCTCCTCAACGTGCCTTCAAATGTCAACCTCTATTTCCACCCAACTTGGTCTTGCAAATAGACAATTATCATAACATTCGGGACTACTTACTTCAAAATTCGAATGATTTAGTTTACTTTTTTTTTCTTGTACATATTCAACTGGCGAAAGGATTTCTGCAAAGCACGAATTGTAGGAAATATGACTATATTCTTCCTTTTTTTAGCATAAAGGGCGAATGCCTTTTTTATAACTTAACTTAGGATTCATGTGTTTATTATAAATCTGAATCTGAACTGAATCGACTTTTGGACAGCGAGGCATGCTTTAATGAAAATACATCACTAAGTTTAGTGTTCAGGATTACTTGACAACATAGTCTACACTTAGATAAGCTCTTATTTAGCACCCGATGACAAAAGTATAATCTTGCTTTCATATAAATTTGCGAAATCTTTAGATACTAGAGGACCACAACGAATCTAAATCACGCCTTCAGCTTGTTCTTTTTGATGCCGCGATCGAACACCTGACACGCATTGAGCGTATTCTTCGCATCGACGGTGGACATGCTCTTTTGGTTGGTGTTGGTGGATCAGGGAAGAGCAGCCTGACGAGACTAGCTGCTTACGCAGCGCAATGCGATGTCTTTGAGATCCGCCTGAGCCGTGGCTATGGGGAACGAGAGTTTCGTGAAGACATCAAGGCTATGTACAACCGCCTCGGCTTGGAAAACCGAAGCACAGTCTTCATGTTCGGTGATCAACACGTTGTGGAGGAAAGTAAGTGATCGGGTTAGTTTCCTACTACTTGCGATATGAGCATAGGACAAATAAGATTATGCTTGAGATCACCATGTGTAAACAATTTAATATATTTACTATTTAGTTAGTGATCGAAGTCAAGACAAAATGAAGAGAAAGCCTTAATTTGTTAATGAATTCAACGGTCTTAGAAGTTGCTTGACCTTGTTTTCGCAACTTGGCCATATTGGCAGGAAAACCTATAAGAACACACTTTTCTGGAGTTCATAGTATGCATGATAATTTCCATAGTCGGACCATGGAATTGGTACATTCTCAGATATTTCGTGTGCATCGTCAGTGAGTCTTGCCAGTCTCAATAACCAAGCTACACCTCGTCAGAGACGAGTGAAGTCAATCCCTTGACCAACTTTCTGTCGAGACACTTGGGTTATCACTCCTCGTTCTGTCCTGGTCTCTCTATCCATTTCCTACCCTCTTGTCTGGCGCTCGTCCTATCATAACTTCTGACATGTCTGTATTCTACAAGAGATATGCTCTTTTGGTAAATTTAGCGTAGTGTCATATCCTCGCTTTCGAGTGGCGAATCCGACTATAGCCTCCTGCCTCGTTGGCCCTTAAGTCGGTTTATTATATTTCTGGTTGACCAATTTCACTTGGTTACATACCCAGCGTACATTTACTCCAGACGCTATTTCTCAAGCCCTCCGTAGCAGGTACATATTCGCCTAATCTGCAGAGCGCCCAGGCTCTGATTCTCATTCTTGCAGGTATTAGGCAATACTTTGACGCAACAACTGCTACATTAAACCCGTATACCCTGAGCAAACTGTGGAAATCCATTCCTGGTTGCCTGCTGCATCTAAAATGGATTATTAGTCAATTTGGTCATAATGACCAATTTCTGTGACCCAATACCTCTCCCTAGTCACGTGAAATGTATGGACCCCAAAGTTATAGTTGTTTATTCGAGCTGACTAAACTCACTGAGGTCATCTTCGCTTCAAGTCCGAAACTTTGAGATTGATATATCGGAATACAAATGAAAGCACCAACCTCTCAATCAGTCGTGATAAACATCAATGTAATTTATCAATCCCTTTGAATGGCTTATCACCAATTCCTCCAATGACATATATATATATATGCAATTAAGCACTTATGATAGTAAACTGGTTTAAAGGAAATGTATTTAGTTATATTGCATATTAAATGGATTTCAAATCTGAAATTCCCAAATTCACCAACATGAATCAGAGAATGCCAAATTATGTTTAATTAAATTTAAAGAAAGTATTGAACAGATCGGACTCCAATTTCCTAAGCCAGACGGTGTATAAATCATGTATGACATGCAGTGAATACTTGCCTATTGTTTTACTCTGACTCCCATTTTTGATGATCATATCACCATATCATAGATTTTATCCCACCAAAAACCTAATCGGTATTCATTAGCTCAAAATCAAGGTATTCTGTATGCTCGCAAGAAACACTTTAGTGCTTTACCTATATGGCTACATTTTTTTCACTTTTGTCATAGTTAACAAAGTTTAAACAAAATTAAAAGTAATATATGACTTTACTTTGTGACTATCTCATATAGTAAAAGAAATGAACCTATATTTCATTTTTAGATATGTTTTTGAGACTACCGGTAGATCATATATATGAGGTGTATTCACCCTATTTCGTTTTAAAATGCTAGGGGAACTGGTAGTTTAATATACTTCATCAATGCGCTTAGATATACAGTATATATTCAACATTTAGGGATGAGTCGGTGAGTTTTCTTTATCAGTTAGCTTGAATATGGTTGGAAGGATGATACCCTGCTCTGATGATGTCCGTCATATGACGGAAAAAAGCTTGACTCGTTTTTACTGGAATGAAAGGACCTCGCCTCGGAACCCGCTTCAACAAGAATGTTGCTGTAAATTCAATCGAAATCTGATAAAAAGGAATCCACTGTTGCCTTCCGATGGAATCGATCTTCGAATCTCTTTAATAAACATTTTCCCTCGAATGGGAAGTGAGCTTCATACTTATAAACGAAGAGATTCCTTAAAATCTAACTTTTATTCTCAAAATGGATTGCTCCTTAATTTACTGTAACATGTGCAGGGACTGTCAGCAAAACTATATAGGATTGAATAAAGGGATGATCAAGCTAAGCATAAAATAATACCAGTGACTTCGCATACTCATGGACATAGAAAGATCGACGATTATCTAGCATATTACCCTAAGTTGTTAAAACAATGCCTGAAAAGCAACAGAGAGACTGGCCTCATACAGTGAAAATAATATAAAATAACGATCCTGTATTTCAGATAAGAGGCCAATGAACGGAACATTCTAAAAGAAAAGTCGACGAGAATTTTTCTTACTGGTTAAACAAGTTCATAGAAATTCTAAATTAGATTTGAGACACCTATCAAACCATAAGAAAAAGCATCACCAGGAAGAGGATCATGAGGTAAAAATGGAAGCTACAACAATTTGAATGTAATAAGAGGATTCTAATCAATGAACCTGCCAAGAATTTCGACGGAAATGTAATACATCAATGATCCGATGCTCTTTTGATCCTAAAATTATTGCCAAATAATTAAAAAATAGATACATTAAAAAACCTTGCAAACGATTTAACCATACCCTAAATGTTATAAAAACCAAAAATTGATACTTTCTTTTTCCGATGAAACTATATTTGATATATTTTTCACAGAATTGTTATACTTACGAAATATTTATTTGCATGCTCCTTATTCTAGGTCCTTTGCCATGGACTTGCCACTAAAGATTTGAGACTTACTGTCCTTTCAAGAGACATTTTTGCCTTCATACCTTAATATGCCTGCTTATTCTGAAGTCTTTAGATCCTAAGTATTCACTATTTACTACTATGTAAGGGGTAGGCATTTAACTATGCTTATTAAAAATGCATCGGTATGGCGGTGTCACCACCTTACTCCACATTTTGATACTCTGTTTTCCTATGAAAGACATTTTAAACAGACATCTATAACTCATTGGTCAGCCCAGGAAATGAAGAAAGAGAATTTTATAGTGGATCTAAAATGTGGTAACTGTCCATTTATCCAACATGAAGGACTACCACAGCAGACTAATTTATGATTACACATTATATATAATAATACAACGTTGAAATTTGATCTAATAAACATATCTTCCTTTAAGGGAGAAATATTTTCATTGCATATTTTAATGCTAACTAATTTTTAATGCCATTCTCTCATTGACCATTTATACACTCTGGGCGGACAGGCTTTTTGGAGTTGGTGAACAACATGCTGACTTCAGGTATGGTGCCAGCATTGTTCACGGATGAAGAGAAGGAAGGCATAGTGGAAGCCCTTCGGGCCGAGGCTACTACGGCTGGCATTCCATCAACACGCGAAGCCATTTGGCAGTACTTTATCCGCAAAGCGGTTGGAAACCTGCACATTGTACTCTGCATGAGTCCAGTCAGTTTAACCTTTCTGGTTTAATACTTTACTTCCTCCCTCAATAGTGATTCAAGCCCAGTCAACAAACCGTTATTTCTTGCGTAGGGCCGATTCTTTTATAGATAAATAGTTTTAATTAAGCAGAGATAAGAAATAGATTATAGAGCATTTCTTTAAAGAAATATTGTTGAATTCCTTACAAATTTATTTTCGAATACAGCCTTATAGACCTATTTTTCTCAATTAGTTTCATCATATTATACATTCAGCTTATACTAAAATAGGCAGAAAAATAAATTAGGTTATGATTAATGCATATAAGTAACAAACCAAACTTGTTACTTGAAGGCAAGAAGATTTGAGTATAGAATTTTATAGAATTTGTTTGACCTGCTTTAGCAACTCGATCGTATTGTCAGAAAGATTTAGGAAAACGCAACTTGTCGGGGTTCATAGTAAACCTGATGATTTCCGGATTCCGACCATGGGCTTGGACGAGTT